TACTGAGTTAGCTTTTTCTCTGCATTTCCTTACACAGTGTATCCAAGAGCTCGGCCGATGACAGTAAGTTACACCACTGGGCGTCTATGGCAAGGGCAAAATAGTGCATAACCGATACCAACGCTACCGATGGTGTAAAACAACATAGTGGTGACGCAACATCTGATTAGTGATTGCGTAACATTATATCTGGTCACACACGCGATCGTGATCTGTGGTATGCAGCCGTCCTGTGATTTCTACCGGGAGATGATGCAGTGTTCCTCGGGTCTCAGGGACCCAGGCCAGACTGCCTTCAGGAATAACATCTGTGGCAAGCTCTCCTCTGTAAGTTACTCTTACAGTTTAGTGTAGCATCGTCTGCCTCTAGCAATGCACTATAGCTTGGTGTGGAAGGTAGCCTGTAACTGGTAAAGTGACAGTATAGTTAGTACACAGCACCCACGTTCAGTGTATGTAGACGAACTGAACATGCACACCCTAAGATATAGGTATATACTCAGTCACGCAGAATGCTCAAATGCACCAATACTGGTTGTTCTGAATCGTTTATGACTCTTCTTATGTTCAAGTTACCACTCCAGGTTCACTTTCGTGTGTTGTTTGTCATTCTCTAGCGACAGTTCCAGGTAGGTGGGCTGTCGGAAGGCCAGAGAGTCAACCTAACACAGCAGTGAGCTCACCCCTAATCCCCTCCTAGTATCCCTATATAGTTTCCCTCTCTCTCTCTCTCTTCTCTATGTTGTGCAAAGTATGATGCCTAGACACCCGCACCAGCAGATAGATTTCTATAGGGCTCGAGTATTCTGCGGTACTTACAACAGGGACGGCTCCATGTTCATATCTGCCGTGCAAGGTATTGGAAGGAAGATCACTATGTGTAGTTAGCAGTGTGGAGAGTGGTAAATCAATACAATTTAGCTAAAGATAAAGAAACAATAGGGCCCAGTGCAAGAATGCAATTATGTTTCTGTGTTTGGTAACAGTTTTTAAATTTAGCCCTTTTATTCTCCCACATTGCCTTTAATACCTGTGCATCGTTGCAGATAACCGGTTGTACTTGTATGAGACATCAAAGTTTGAGAAGTACAAAAGTATCGTGGGGAGGGACATTGGGTGGTCAATCCTGGATGTTGTATTCAGGTAAAGATGGAGCAAACGTTTGAGGTCCCTTTGAATTGTCCCCCCCCCTCTCCCCTCTCTCTCCTCTAGTCAAGACCAGTACTGGTTTGCCTACTCCACATGGTCCCCCTGCAGTAAGCAACCACTCACTCTCTATTCTTTGTTGACCTGGTAGATAGAGGACTGAAGGAGTACATTGGGAAGACTGTTTGCTGCACAGTGCTTATGTAGAGTGAAGGGGGAAGACCAGCTTTTGACTGGGAGTTATATCTCAGTGTGGACTTCCGGTCATAACACCTGAGTTTGATTCCTGAGACAGACAGAAATTGGTTCTTTCTCTTTCCCTCGTGGTCTGTGTATTTATGCCATTTCTTCAGACTCGTCTCCATTCCTCTTATCACCCCCCTCCCCCCTCTCTCTGACTAGTTTATGTCTGCAATGTGTATGGAGAGGAAGAGAACCACTATTCGCTGGACCTCAGACCGGACACGTTGGATCGATTCTGCGTCTTCTCCCTGCGGTTCTCCAGCGACGACAAGGAGCTCATTACTGCGTATGTCAGCACCTATATACCCACACAACCATCAGACAAAGACCCAGAAGGAAGAAAGTGTCATACTGTGTGTTGTGTTTTCTACAGGTGCAGTGATGGATACCTCTACATCTACAATCGTGAAATCTGCGACAGAACTCTAAAGGTATATAAATTTTTCCTCTCTCTTTGCTATAACGTAGCTGCTTGAGTTATGTTGCAGATAGATGCCCACCAAGATGATGCGGATGCCGTGGCCCTGGACGACCAGTCTTCTCATATCATCTTCTCTGCGGGAGACGACGGACTCTGCAAGGTGTGGGACCGGCGCTGTCTCTCTGAGGCCAATCCTCGCCCTGTGGGTACCCTCGCCGGCCACAAGGACGGCATCACGTTCATCGACACCAAGGTACAACACATCCAGTTTCTTATTTAGCTCAAAAAACCACAGAAATTCTACTGCCCATTTAGTATTTTTCCCCTGCAAACTTTGTTGACAGTGCTTCTCAACTGGAAAAAGTACAGTATGTAGTTTTCCTGTAGAATTTTTCAACAAGCAGTTTAATCTCGTTCTCCCTACATTAAATTCAGTGTTAATTCCTCAATCAAGGTAGGTGTCCTCAAGTTGCTTGGTGATAGTCCACCTTCAACGCTTCAAACCCTCTTCTTTGTGTGTTCTCTGTGGGTTATAATTGCAGAATGATGTCTTCTATAAATTCATTGTGTTCTTGTGCGCGTGTGTTCCCAATTCTCTGTGTCTGATTACAGGGTGACGGTCGTCACCTGATCACCAACTCTAAAGACCAGACCATCAAGCTGTGGGACATTCGCCAGTTCTCCCAGAGGGACGGGATAGCTGCCACTCTCGGGGAGGTGCAGAGACAGTCCTGGGACTACCGCTGGCAGGACGTACCCAAGAGAGGTACAGTCATAATATTATGTAACTACCATTTCATAGCTAGCCAGTGTTTTATTTTAGTGTGAGTGTCTTTTTTGCAAATGTACGTGCGATGTATTATGCAGTTACTCTTTTACTTTGCAGATGTATTAATTGTGGTTGTATGCATCGTTGAGTGATTTTTGCGATTCCTTTTCGCATGCCAATTTTTAAAGATGTGCGTAAAAGGTTCTCTTCACAGATTTACGTAATAATAAGTGTCGTAATTATGAGTTGAGTACACGTAACAGGTAGAAATTGTGCCACTAGAGTACGGGTGGATGTCCATGTATTGCTTGCAGTTATGCGAGACGCTCTAGTGAAGCTACCAGGAGACAGCTCCGTCATGACGTACGCCGGCCACCTGGTGAAGCACACTCTACTGCGAGCTAGGTTCTCCCCTCCTGCCACCACCGGACAGGTATACTGTACTTTAGGTCTATGATAGAGGTTGTCTGTGATGATGGATAATGTATTATTGGCCTGCAGAGGTACATCTATACCGCCTGTGCAAAGGGAAGAGTCGTAGGTAAGCCAGTTCTACCATTATCGTCAAATGTGGCTCTTTCACGCTAAGGTGATTGAAATTTTGTATATATACAGTGCGTATTTTTATCAACAAAGGCTCGTACAAGATTCAGTAGTGTTTGTGTACCGCAGTAGCTACAGTTACTGTCACCCCCTGTGCAGTGTATGACACGCTGACTGGGGAGGTGGTGCAGACCCTGATGACTGACAACTACAACTGTGTCTGTGTGAGAGACGTCTCCTGGAGCCCCAGCCAGCCTGGCGAGCTCGTCTCCTCCTCTGTGAGGGTCCCACATACACCTCTATTTGTGATCCCCTTAATCACAAGATTTCTTGCTAACCAGGGGCTGTCCCTTTGAAATTTTGCCTACTATGTCAAGCACAATTCCTTTTTGGAATACTTTGCCGCATTACACTAACTCTGACTTACACAGGGTCTTAGTTTGCTTTATAGTCCCCATGCTTTTTCGTGATGCACACGCTGGGAGATAGTGCGTAGCTGAATCACGTAGCAGAATCACTGTTGCCATGCTGCCTCCCTGACTCTTCTCTCTCCCCCTCTTCTCCTCCCCTCAGTGGGATGGTCTTCTTCAGCTGTGGATCCCCCACCCAAGAATTCGCCAGGCGGGTGCAGGCACTACATCTTCTCATGAGTCAGCAGGCACTCACAGCCACATAATATGACCTCCCAGCCCCAGCACTCTCTAATAATCTGTCTCACATTTGATTCTGTGCTCCTGTCATTCTGTTTCTTTCATACAACACTTTAATTGGCTTTCATAATTTGTCACTCAGTCATAATAACCGGTCATGATAATCTTATTCATTTTTGTCCCAACTCTACTGAAGTGTGTGTGCGTGCGTGCATGCGTACTGTCAGTAGAGGGTGGTGGTGTGGTGTGGGAGGCCAATGGGGGAGGTGGTGAGGGTATGAGGAGCTCTGAGTCCTGTTCTGTGGTGGGACTGCTGCTGGTGTTGGGTGCAGAGACGTTTCCACGTCTGTCGGTATGTCCGTAGCGCCATCTGGAGAGAAAAAACAGCTGACAATATAATACTGAAAACTCCAATAAGTGTGTCTTAATTGGAGGGGCTATCATAGAGAAATAGAGAAAATCAGCATGCCATCATAATTATTATGCATGATCTGTTACTGCTGTGTGACATCTAGTTGAATGTGTGTATGTGCAAGCGTGTGTGTGTATATAGTCATTTACACATACCTCAGAGATCTCGACTTTCCTTTCCCATGTCCTCACAGCTTTAGTCAGTTCATAGAGACTGACCCTCTCCTCTACATACTCCATCACCTGTGAAGGGTCGTGTTTTTGGTCGATTGTGCATTGCGGTATCTATTGGTCGATTGTGGATTGGGTGAATCAAGACTCACATCTGGTACTTTGTAGTCTTCTAACTTCTGTCTTGATGTGGTATTGATAGCCTCAGCCTTTTCCTTTTCCTGCCCCAGAACAAGTATATATACACAGTGAGGACGGTGTTAGGAGGCTGGGTTAGGTCTTACCTCTGTGACGGTGGTGGTCTCAGCATCGACTCTGGCCAGTAGCTCTCTTCTCTGCTCTATCTCCTGCTCCGCTGCCCGACTCTCCACACTTAGAGCTTGCAGCTTCTTCTACAGTGTGACAACATTGAAGCCTCAACAACATTGGTTAGCTAAAACTTTAGTTTGCTATGGCTGTCATACAAAGGCTGTAGGATTTGCAGAATATCTGAAACCCTGGTGGCTGGTGGGCAAGCCCATAATGCTTCTCTGAATGAAACTAGACCTATTAACATCATAGGTATGTATATAGCTGGTATTGAGACTACTGCAACTATACTGACCTTGTAGGTGTTGAGTATCTGGAGGGCCTTGGCTGCCCTCACCTTGAGTCTGAGCAGCTCGTGGTTCTTCTCCTCGCATCTCTCATTCAGCTGCTGGTTCTCAATCTGGAGCTGCTTGAAGTCCACCTCGTTCCTTACCTCCCCTGCATCGTCCTTCTACATCCACCACACACACTATCGCTCAGTGTTCAGTTCATCTAATGTCTGTTTCAGTGACCTGTTTGAGTTGAATCTGAAGCTTTCTTCGCTTCACTTTCAACGACGAATTCTTTGAACGCAACTTTTCTGCCAGTGAGTCCTGATAACAAAACACATGTTCCCAATATATTGATAGTTTGTTATGGTGTTTATGATGTTTACCCTGGACTTGACTCTGTCTTCAAAGTACTTGACAACCTTCTCTCCCATTATCCTCTTTGTTCGCTGCAGCAACGGTAACATGCAATACTAGTAAAGAGAAGGTAGGCAAGGTCCTACAGGGTTCACTGAGCCTCTCAGCACATCTCTGTCAAACTCGTAAGTCGTTTTCTTGAGCTCCGCTAGTCTCTGGTCTGCCTCCTGCACCACTGCCTGCAGTGGAGACACAAAACACTTCATATCGCTGAGGTATCAGTGGTGGGCTCTATTTGGAGCTCTCACTGACCCTGAGGTTGTCGTAGTTGATCTGAGCCTCCTCCTGGTCTCTCTGCAGCTTCTCCCTCAGTTCATCCAGCTCTCTCGTGGCTATGTTACACTTCTGGTCCATACTCAACCTCAACAGACTGTGTGTATACACACAGCAATTTATAATAATATAGAGCTAAGATATTAGAGAGGATACTTAGGGGTCCATCTACCTCTTGGAGCTGGCTCCTTCTTTTATCCTCACTCTCTTCCTCTGCATGTCCAGTTGAGACGAGTGTGTCGTTGGAATAGCTGAATTTATAGGAAACCAGGTGCAAGTAACTTTGACAACTGAATGCTATGATTTATGATAGTGTTGTACCTTTCAGTTGGAAGTCTTTGGGGTCCAGTCGCTTCAGAAACTGCTCAAATATGCGATTCTCTTTCTCTAACATTTCAATGGATGCTCTGCAAAGATGATGCATTGCATTAGAACATTGCACTGCAACTTATGAACGGCGTACTGGGTATCTTCAAAAAGATGCTGCATTTTGTCGTTTCCTCTACTCTCCAGATCAAGAGAATCAGCGCTGGCTTGAGCAGTGTCTTCACCTGGTGCCGCCATCTTTTTTTGTTGTTCCGTTGTCACGGTGATTTGTAGATGCAGAGTGCGCATGCGTGAACTTTTCGCGCGCGCTTTGTGCTCCGTAAACTAGAGATTGCCCCGCGGACCGCTCGAAAAGAAGTGCAGGTCGAAATTTTTGGATCCCTTTTCATCGACGAAGATGAAGCTCGTTAGGTGTGTCTTAGCAGCTTCTTTCAGTGCCCAAGTGTAGTTTTATAAGTCGTAGGAGCTGGACATGCCTTGAGGAGAAATTTGATTGCGAAGTGTTATTTTTTTACTAATCGTAGATTTTTGATGAAACTGAGCCACGAGACGGTGACGATAGAGCTCAAGAATGGTACAGTAGTGCACGGGACAATAATGGGTATGTTACTTGGTTTTGCAACTCACTCAACGATATTTTTGCGTCGTGATTCTTATTGGTGCTCACCCTCTGTGTATCTGCGTAGTAATGCACAGCACAGTCTTTACGGCTAATAAAATGTATGGTGCAAGAAAATCATGACGATTTATGTCTAGCCCCTGTTATTTTGATTCAATCTCACAGGTGTAGACATGAGTATGAACACACATCTCAAGTCGGTGAAGATGACAATCAAAGACAAGGCTACAGTCACTCTGGACTCGCTGAGCTTACGAGGCAACAACATCCGCTACTACATCCTCCCTGAGAACATTCCACTCGACACACTGCTAGTGGATGATAGCCCCAAGGCCAAGGCAAAGAAGAGAGAGGGTGAGTTTTGGTGACCAGTGGGGCTCTATCTTAATGTACTTATTAGTGTTATGTTTTGTAGCCATTATAGCAAGAAACTTTCAACAGGAAATCTTGTACATATTAGAGGGTGGAGAAATTTTCGCTAGGCACCTAAAACTGTCTCTTGTCTTATAATTTCCTACTATGATGGTGTAGTTTGTATACCTTACTAAAATATTTCCAAATATTTCCCTGCAGTTCACCTGGGTCGAGGGAGAGGGAGAGGGAGAGGAAGAGGGAGGGGCAGAGGAAGAGGGAGAGGAGCAGGAGGAGCAGGAGGACCAAGACGCTAGACACTGGCACACACTTGACACTGATTAGGGAACTGTTAATCACACCTCTATCTGAACAAATGTTTGCAATCTTTGCCTTTTTCCTTTTCTGTGCGATTGATTACATCCGTTTTCGCAGCGGTATGCCAAGCCTATGTATAGTGTCAAATCATTTAGATTAGCACGGGTGGAGCTATTTCCATGGTTCGTCTTTCCCTGCCTTTATGTTATGTGAAGTATTAGGACACCCAGCCAGTTTTTTGACAGAGATTGCTCGCCCCTTTGAGGCAGCTAGCATATTATTTGGTACCTTGGAAACCACCTGGAAACCCACACTGACACTCCACGTAGACCACAGTAGCCGCAAACGATAGAGACGGGCAATCTACAGTGTTTATTTTTACATTCTTGGCAGTGGATTCATTTTCCTTGAGGAGTGACTGTTGAAATGGGGTTTTAGGGGCAGTCATCTAGACAAACTGTTATCCCCAAGAAATGACTGTGAAGATGGGGGCAATGTGCTGTGCACCATTAAGTCTCGTCCCTCGTGCTGTATATACACCATCTTCAACACCAAATCTTTCTATATAAGAGGCTGACTGAGCTAGGGAACGGAACTGAGCACAATGGGCAAAACCATCAAACCGCGGGTTTATGGGCGTATACACGCGCTCGCGGTTTTTGGTCTCACCAGCCCCACCCAACTTTTTGCAATGGCGGAAGGTGCGTCTGGTCAACTTCCACTGTGTTAGTGAGTAGTTGTGTACTTTACAGCCCCTGCAGTGGACGAGACGCTAACACCAGACGATGCCGTGGATGTGTTGGAGGAAATACTGCCAGCACAGAACAAGTCGTACGAGCTGGGGCTGAAATTGAAACTGCCGCAGCACGTCGTAGAGGCGATCCACTCCAAGAATTTGCCACCTGAAAGATGTCTGCTCGAAGTTCTGATCAAGTTCTCCCAGCAAACGGAGCCCAGATCGACATGGAGGGTCATTATAGAAGCCCTTAAGAGTCCTGCAGTCAACTTACCTGCAGTCAACTTACCAGCACTAGCTGAGAGGGTTCAAGCAGCTCGTTTCCCTGACCCTACCGCAACACGTGACGTGGTACCTGAGACTACTGGTATGTCACCATCCACTCTCTTCTCTAACTGATGTACTCATGTCTCATCAGGTGCGACCAGCACTACTTCTGCTGATGAAGAAGTAAAGCCCAAACCATCCCGTCCAGTCACTGGTATAATCACTGCATGATAGCAGCAGTTTAAACACCAAACCAAACTCTAACTATTATCACACAGTTTCAGTGTATGTTTTTCATTTCCTAATGTGTTATCTGTATTACGTGCTGCCATACTTGTGCTTGGCAGCTCTTCTATACAGCTAGATCACACAATGCGTATTTCCCAAACCCTGATTTAGATCTTTTTGACTTGTAGAAAATGATGTCCGGGATAAAGTAACCCAGCTACATAATCGGTTCTTGGATTTGAAGAGAGCCACCAGAGAGCATCTTGAGAATCAAGAAGTTCCCGTCAAGGACGTAACTGATGATCTTACATCACTTGCCCCTTACGAAGGCGAAGTTCATCATAAGCTATTTCTGCGCGACAACTTGAAGGATCTTCTCGGTGCAACTGATCACCATCAGGTTTTTGTGTTCATGAACTTCCACTGGGACTATCTCAATTACCACCTTTTGGAGGTGGTCATCAAAAGGTTTGACATGCCTAAGATCAAAGATGAGATGAGATCCTACAAATTGGATCTAAAGGTTTTCATGAAGAACACACCATTGACACTGTTCTGCAATGTTCACCAAAGAAGGCCTGATAAACCACAGGGGTTCTGTGAGTTAGTAGCTGAGTTCAACTGGCCAAAGAATGAAGATGTAACTCTTGAAGTTGTTGAAGATTTTAGGAAAAAATACGCAGATGAATACAACCTTAAAGATTTTGCTATGATGTTGGAAGACGTGCGTCCTGGCTCTTTCGTTGTTACCTGGCTGGTGCCTGAATCACTCATTGGAATGTTGCAGTTGCATCAGAAACTACCCATTGCTCTTCTACGTAAATGCTTTGTCACAGAGTTAAAGGTTGCTGGAGTTTCAGTCTACCCATTTCAGGTATATTTTCTTGATCTTAATGATTGCTAAAGAATGCAGTTGTTTATTGCCTTAGGAATCCAGTAGTGGATATTCCAGTTACAATTACCCTGGGCATGCATCTTCTGTCGCTGCATCAGAAAGGTAATTGACTTGCAGTTGTAGAATAGCATTATTAACAGTACACTTGTTTATTTTCAGAGGTTGGCAGAATACTGAGTATTGCATTGACTTTAAGTTTGCTTGGGAAGTGTGAAAATAGCCAATGTAATTTGGTTCATGGCTTCCGAGAAAGGTTTGGTGTTTTACTGTATAAATTTTGTCTTAAAGTGTTTTTAAATTGGTAGGACCTCTCATGAAATTCTGGAGATACCAGATAAAATACTTCTTGCAACTGCCATAAAAGGAACGTTTTTAAGACTGCTGCGACAAATTGCCGAGTGTTCCTTGAGGGAAGCTGGCATAAATCAGGTATGCGTGAGTCATTGTGAGATATATACCACATAAGTATTGGCTGCCATTAATTAGGCTGTATTAGCAGTCTTTGCAAGTCAAAAATGTTATGCACAATTAAACTTTAAGTTAACCCTTTGGACGCCATGGGTATGTCCTTAAATAAGCAGAAATTGATGTTCATAGTATTATGGGCTTATAGAGGCTCTGTATGTCAGTGGCTTGCTAAGGTTTAACTACCGTCATAGGGTTTTGTGTCGCGTGTATATAGGTTGCTGTTGTGGTATCCAGGCAGAATAGGCATCTTCTGCCTGAGATTGTTGAGGAGTATAAAGTCCTCCTATCACAATTGGTATCTACTGTTTTTGTATGCAAACTGAGCCCCATTGAGATATACTCACAGTACCCAAGAGGGCCAAGATGGTGCTATATTCATCGTGATGGAATAGCCCAGTGCCCCTCGCTGGAGTTCAAGCAGTATGAAGGGAATATACCTGTGGGTCCTGGTGAAGCACGAGAGCTACAAGATGGATATTTTGAGCTGTGCATCAGTGTGAGTACAATGTCCACGCTTATTTTCAAACTGATGGCCTAAATGAAGGGGATGTAGGGATGGCATGTTTCTTCTTACACAGAGACAGAAAGTCACCGTCCATACATCTTTGTTTCTTCTAAGGCAGACTTCTATAGTATGTATGCATTCATGACCAGCAAAAGATTGAAACAAAGATGTAGGGATGGGGTTATGAATGAATTTCTGTCTCGGTGTAGGCATCTTCTTGTTCCCTCCTTTTTCATTACTGTGACATCCCTACATCCCCTTTCATTTCATATAAATAATTTTCCACTTGTAATCCTATATATCTTCGTCAGTGTTTAGTGTAAAACCAACATGATTAATTTAAGAATGAAGAGCTTGCAAAATAGAAGAGCCCTCACTCAGCAATGGTGATTTAGTTTTTAATCAGACTGACTGAAAAAAAAAGTTTCACTATAGGGACGCACATGTAGGGATGGGGTTAGGAAGTATTTCTAGTCTCACCCACACATTCTTATGCTTGGGTGCATTTAAGTAGAAAAGGGAAGGCCTTTTTTGCGAATAGCATGAGTCATCTGCCCCATTGATAAACATTTTGTATGATTGTGCATAGAAGAAGGATGGCAGTGAGCTCAAAGATTTGAGTGTAAAGGACCCTCCACAAGAGCTTGAAGGAGACAGTGACACAAAGGAGGGTCTGCACAAGACATTATCTAGAGTTCATGGAGTTGAGCAATTTGATCCCCAGGGTAATCAAAAGGATTATGTCAAGTGAGCTGTAGCTACACTGGTAATTATATAAGTGGGTACCTAATAACATCCACTCTTCACGGTGGATTCACACTGCCTGGACAGAACAATTATGGTTTATAAACTCATACAGTAAATACTAACACGGATAACTTTCTATATAGGCAAAATATTTGTGCGGTGTGAATCCACTTGTGAGTGACGACATTGTGGGGCAGTCATCTGAGTGTGTGTTTGAATTGAGACTGTCCCATAATGGCTAAAAGTTCGAGTATATAAACGTTCAGGTTATTGAAGACCATAAGGATCACATTAAGCAGAGACTGGCGGAAGGATTGGAGTGGTTTTACAAGGAAAAAAGGAAGCTGTGCATTCTTAAGTTAGAGGGAAGGTGAGTATATAGCTGTGTAACAGTGCCTGTGTCTCATTATTATCATTATGCAGGTTTGGCAAAATACTATGGAAGCATTTACCCCAAGTTATGTGTGGTGGCAGTTTTGGGGTTAAGGATTTTGAAGAATTTTGTTATGAGTCAAAAGAGTACTCAAGAACATTCAGACCAAAGTATGTAGAACATAGAGGTTTTAAAGTGATAATGTTTCTTGATAGTGTAAAACAGGGGTCCGCTGATACAGTCAGGGGAAATTTTCAGGAAGCAGAAAGTTGTGTTCTGGAGACATTTGATATCAAGTTTACTACACCAAGGAGAGAGAGCGAAATGCAATAGATGTGCGTGTGAAGTTTGAACAAGGCAAACCAATACTTCTTCTTGCAAAGAAAAATGAAAAGAAAATTGTGGTCTTTGATGTTCTCTACCTGCATAGGTAAATGTATTTATGTGCAAAGCCTTTATTATATTATGCATACAGAAACCATGATGTTCGAATGTCCCTGAGCTACTATGAGGTTGTACAGCCAGGCTCTGCTGAGCATGCAGTGGTAGAGCAACTTCTGAAGACCATGTCACTCGAAGAGGACAAGGAGACCATCGCACTTGTAACTAAAACTGGTGATTGGTGTGTGAACTTCATTCGTCACAAGAAGAAGAAGACTTACTACCACAAAAATAAATACCTTGTCACTGTGACTGAGGTTTCTGAGTTTCAGCTCGAGAGAGAGAGCCAAAAAAGCTCACAAGTCCATATTTATCCTGATAAGTACAGAAAAAGTCATACTGAGTGTGAGGTAATGATATATTAGTTGTTCTAGCCTCATTTTCAGCATTGCTTTGGTCTTTCTAGCTCCACAACTGCTCGTGGGATTGTGCATTTGGTCGTGATGTTGGTTTCCTTCCGAAGCAGTCCCTCATCCTACACATGGAGACTCCAACTGTGGCACCTGAGGTGGAGAGAGCTATCCCGCATCCCTGGCAGCCTGAACACATCATGGAGGATTTTGAGGACTTTTGGAAGACTTTGGACTCTATAAACGGCATGATAGGACCTTCACCATAATAATTATATGTATGACAGGATTTAATTTATGACGTTTCCTGTTCCCACACGCGCATGCTCAGAACAGCTAGCGGCGGCGAAGCGACGTGATAAAAGGGCCGCCGGTGCAGCACGGAGCATTGCGAGCTGCATTGCGATGTCTGGGCACCAAGGTGGAAGAGGACGGGGCCACTGCGACAAATACAAGTACCTGGGAAGATGCGATAAACTGGGTACAACGTGCACCTTTCGACACGAAGTGGTAGCAAGGTACGCCATCGACGGTCACCGTGCAATATAACAGTTTTTCGCATACAGCCCGACCTACGCGGAATATTTACCCGTTCCTGCTGGTACGACAATCGGCATGGTCATTGGAAGTGGAGGCTGCAACATGAAACAAATGCGCAGCATTGCTCGCTGCGGAGTCATAGTGGAGAAAGACAAGGTGAGGGACTGGCAGCAACAATATTATCATGCACGGAAAATAATGTTCAATATACCGTAGGTTTCAATTGGCACCGATAGCAGGGAAAATCTAAAATTACTGGTTGATAAAATGAAGCTGATTTTATCCCAAGAGGTAAAGTTTGCATTCTAGTGTGAACTAAATGACTGTTAACCTTACTACACAGCGTGTATCTGGTCCATCATGGACCTATATACACCCACAAGGGGTGTCCAGCCTTGGCACATATGAGTTTATACCTTACCAAGGGCGAATACCAGTCAGAGCACTACGACCTGGACTCACCATGTATGAGTTGTATGGAGATTTGCCCCAGGTATTATAATTATACCTACATCAAATTCTCGTCACATTTCTCAACTTTTTATAAAGGGAGGAACAGATGAAGATGACATTGTTAGAGGAGTTGCTGCTATGAGCCCCATTACAGCTGATGATAAAAGAGAAGGTCTGCAGAGTAAACTGAGACAACTCCATGGTGAAACTCAAGGTAAAGCAGAAAGATTAACTTGGAAACAAAAGACACGGTAACTTTTGTGGACTGATGTGTGTGTGTGTGATTTAGCAGCATTATTGTGCAGAATTCACCTTGAACCAAAGAGAAATATTAAGCAGTCTCTCACTGATGGCTTGAGGCTGCTTTGTGACAAAAAGGAACAACTCATTACAAGACTTGATGCTAGGTAATAGTACCCACAGTCATTGTAGTCTCACGTAGAGACTACGGTCATTGATCCCATGTTATAAATACCCTTTCCCCTGAAATGTTGTAGATTTGGAAAGGTTACTTGGAGTAAATTCCCTGAAGAGGTCTACAGACGAAGAATGGATATTCAAGAGCTGGGAGATCTACTTTTCGTAGAGCAGAGCAAACACATAAACATATTCAACACAGAGTGAGTGGGATCATGCATGAATCCATCTTTTGGGTAAAAGGGGTGTAACTATAACGTCAATTCATGCACCATGTTTTCCCAGCATCCAGGCTTTAGGTGCTGAGTGTAACTATAACGTCAATTCATGCACCATGTTTTCCCAGCATCCAGGCTTTAGGTGCTGAGGCTATCCGTAAAAAATTTAGACGCTCTCCTAGCTACCCTCTGGAGACTTTTGATGTGAAGTTGACAAGTATCGGGAGTGTGGGAGGAGAAGGAGAAACAAGACTCGACATTCGTCTGCTCGTGAGGAAAAGCGATGATGGAAGAACAGGTGTAGAGGTGGCTCTCGTGAAAAAGAATGAGATCAAAGATGTCACTTTTGACATCCTTAACATACATCGGTTAATTCTTAACCAACACAAGTATTGTTCAGACTGTTTTTCTCTACAGAAAACATGATGTGCGTATCGGCCTTCACCACTACAAGTGTGTGGAGGAGGGAGAGCCTATTTTTGGTATTGTTAGGGAGATGGTTGGCCGAATGGCCTTTCCGTCTCGTCACAGAGTCCGCTTCCAGCCGAGATCTTCGCGGTGGAGTGTCCATCTCATCCGCCACAAACAGAAGACGACATACATAATGGACGGCGGAGGTTTTGCTGTCACTGTAGCCACTGTTTCTGAGCACTCCTTTGACGCAAAGAATGACGAAGCTGTTGAGTTTGACATGCGAATGGAAGCAAATGAAACACACGCCGAAGTAGAAGTAAGCAAATAATTACTTAAGTACAGTGTTCACAAATATTTCTACTCTCCACAGCTGCACAACTTGGCCTGGGAGTGTGCCTTTGGTCGAGATGCAGGACTCTCTGCTGACAAGTCCCTTGCTCTGCATATAGAGCGAGGCTCGGCTGACACGAGGCAGTTTGACACCATTCCTTACCCCTGGCAGACTGCCAGCATCCTCAGGGATTTTGATGCCTTCTGGAGCCACCTGGAAACCCTTACCGACAGACTAGATGGACCACAGTAGTAGCCGAACAAACATATCTTCGAGAAATAGTTTTTCCAGTAGACCATTAGACTCAGAAAATCGTGCTTATATAATTATGTAGTTGCTTTTTATATATACCCTGAAAGCTTAATGATTATGTTACCATTTTCTCCTTTTACAGTAGCAGCCATGAAACTCATACTATAGTGATTGTGCAGCTATATATATTATTATGGGATCAATCTACACAGTCTTGTAACAGTCTTTGCTCCAACTGTCTGACAGCTCCAATGCTGAGCACCAGTTTATCCCTCAGCAGGATGCTGTACACATTGAGTCCTCTCGACGGCAGTACGTCGACTTTCTGCAGGTTACGAGTTGCGTAGCACAGGTTTCTGTCCAGTTCTCCTCCGTCCACCATCAACACCGACGACCACTCTTCTCTCTCCAGAATAGGGAGTGTCTCTCGAACTCTGTGAGTGGGTACCTGGAGGGCATCAACCACTGTTAGATCTCCCTGCGTGTACTTTGGAAGTGTGTAGTCGTAGGATTTCGGGCCTCGCGGTCCGTGGACCACACCCCCGCCTCGCCAGTGAGGGGCTCTGATGCTGCCCTGTCTGGCCCGACCACCCCCCTTTTGTTTCCATGGTTTCCTCCCTCCGCCCCGGACCTCCGATCGATCCTTCACCTTTGCGAGTCCTTCCCGCCGCTTGGCTCGCTGCCACACCACGATTCTGTGGAGGATGTCGATTCTCGGAGGAGCTCCAAAGACAAATGGGTGTAGGTGAACGGTACCCAGGACCTGGCCTGTCTGAAACGACTTGAGAGTGCCTCTGAAACTGAGCCACGAGACGGTGACGATAGAGCTCAAGAATGGTACAGTAGTGCACGGGAGACAATAATGGGTAAGTTACTTGGTTTTGCAACTCACTCAACGATATTTTTGCGTCGTGATTCTTATTGGTGCTCACCCTCTGTGTATCTGCGTAGTAATGCACAGCAGTCTTTACGGCAACTGAAATGTATGGTGCAAGAAAATCATGATGATTTATGTCTAGCCCCTGTTATTTTGATTCAATCTCACAGGTGTAGACATGAGTATGAACACACATCTCAAGTCGGTGAAGATGACAATCAAAGACAAGGCTACAGTCACTCTGGACTCACTGAGCTTACGAGGCAACAACATCCGCTACTACATCCTCCCAGAGAACATTCCACTCGACACACTGCTAGTGGATGATAGCCCCAAGGCCAAGGCAAAGAAGAGAGAGGGTGAGTTTTGATGACCAGTAGTGCTCAATCTGCATGAAGGTAAAGAAAAAATTTACACACTGCTGATGGCTCCTGAACCTAAAGCTGTGTGCAAGTTTTGTTCTAGAAACTCTACTCCTGTAGGTTGCATGCATTGTATTGCCTTTTAATCCTGCAGTTCACCTGGGTCGGGGCAGAGGGAGAGGGAGAGGGAGAGGGAGGGGCAGAGGAAGAGGGAGAGGAGCAGGAGGACCAAGACGCTAGACATTGCCACACACTTGACGCTCTGATTAGAAACAAGTTTACTGTTTTTTGCTTTCTGAACTTTTCAGTTAGAAAAGTAATGATTCTTATCTGTTTGTCCTTGAGCATAAGCTGGGGTTTTCGATTTGAGAGGTGGTTCACATTAGTATACTCTCGTGCCAAGAACCTGCCTCAAGAGAGGAAAAGGGTCTGGCTGGTGTCAATAATGTCTCGGTTTGTAAAATCATCCGCATGGGACGTACATAACAATGAGAGCGCAAGAACGTAACCTCATCCGCAACAGGAGACCTGCGCGAACCATCACAATCAGAGAGAGGCGAGAGTGGAGAATTCAGGCGCTGTGCGGGCTGCTATACCGAAGACGTTCGGCGTAGACTGCCACCGTCCCGGAATGACCGCCCCACCCCCTCATTTGCGTGCGGTGGTTTGTGGGCGGGCGTGAGCGAGCTGCCTGGCTACACCTACGTACGTACATGGCAAGGAGGGATCAACAGACACAGAAAACTGTCTTGTGGAAAAAGAAAATCAAGATATCTGATCAACATTTTGAAGAGATCATGTTGAAATGCTGTTGAAAATCAACAATGTTGTTAGCTCACACGCGGTTCACGTACTAACAAATCTGATTGGTCGATTCGAATCAGCTATGCGATGTATATATTATTATGATCATAAGGCAAACATCTTTAGAGGGCGGGCCGGGGTCTGTTGTGTGCGTGTGGTAGCGCCGCCATGGCCGAAGGTTGGTGGATTTGTCGGTAAGTCCTTTTAAAATCATTGTGAATATTCCAGCACCTGCAATCGGCGAGACGCTGGACGCTGTGGATGCGCTGGAGGAACTGGTGGAAGCACAAAACGAATCATACATGCTTGGCCTGAAGTTACGTTTGCCAAAATACGTTGTCCAGGCCATACACGACAAGTATACCAACCCACGAGACCGTCTTCTTCATGTTCTATTAGAATTCAATGAACAGACGGACCCAAGACCAACGTGGGGGGTTATTATAGATGCCCTCAGAAGCCCTGCAATCAATATGAAAAAATTAGCTGAGAGAGTTGAATCAAGACATGGACATATTGTTTCAACAGGTACATTATGGTATGTTATTCACCTGGTTTTTTATCCTTCTCTTTGTAGCTTGCAATGTTTCAACACTTCCCTTCAAAGAAGAAACAAGCCTACCCTTGACAGTGCCAGAAATAACAAACACACAGCCGCCTTCGCAAGAAGCCTGTGGTAAATTATATGGTTGGTTTGTATTGGAGGGTATAGGACAGTGTTACTTGTCACTATGCTGTGTTGATCGGCATACCTTCTTTTCACAGAAATTGCGACAGTGAAGGCCAAAATAGATCAATTTGACCAAAGGTTTCATCAGTTGAAAAATTCTACTAGGGAGGAACTTGAAAAACAAAAAGTATCTGTCACACTGGTGGCAGATGCTCTAACCTCACTTTCTCCCGATGCTGGGGAAGTGGATGCACAGTTTCTAAAGAGTCATTTTGATGAACTGTTCGATGCATCTGATCATTTCAAGCTCTTTGGAAAGATGAATTTCCACTGGAACTACCTCAACTATCATCCACTTGATCATCTTGTCAAAAAGTTTGACATAAAGGAGGTTAAGGCTAATATGGAGACATACAAATCAGATCTAAAGGAATTCAGGGAAACTACACCATTAACAGTGTTCTGCAAAACACAGAAGAAAAAGTGTACTACGACACTGAAAAAATTCCAAAAAATTGTTTCCAAATTTAACTGGCCTGATAATGAAGTAGTAACGCTGGAAGCCGTTGAGGAGTTTCGACAAGCCTATGCTCATCACTACAGCCTTCGAGATTTCGCAATGATGTTGGAGGAGATACGCCCCGGGTCTTTTATAGTCACCTGGCTGGTGCATGAATCTATCATTGGAATGCTACATGTTAATATACCTGTCAAGCTCTTTAGAAGGTTTTTCATTACTGAATTAGATGTTGCTGGTATTTCTGTATACAAACCTCAACTTATGGTGAGAATAATTACTAACTTAATTTTTCACTCTATCAAACTGTCCTGTGTATATATAGGCACCCCCACGGCCACCATCCAGTAGTGGTTACTCAAGTTCTTCTAGTACACCATCTAGGATGAATTACAGGAGGACTGGGGGCCAGCATGACTGCGACAAACACAAATTCCTCGGAAAATGCGATAAACGAGGTACAACGTGCACTTTTCGACACGAAGTAGCAAGGTACGCAATGGACGGTCACCGTGCATAGCATAACAGTTTTTTCGCATACAGCCCGACCTACGTGGAATATTTACCCGTTCCTGCTGGTACGACAATCGGCATGGTCATTGGAAGAGGAGGCTGCAACATGAAACAAATGCGCACAGCTCGCTGCGGAGTCATAGTGAGAGAAAGAGAACAAGGTGAGGGACTGGCAGCACAATATTCTCATGCACGGAACATAATGTTTCACCTCTACGGTAGGTTCATTGTGCACACCGATAGCAGGGAAATCGAAAATTACTGGTTGATAAAATGAAGCTGTGATTTAATCCCACCAGAGGATAAAGTTTGCATTCTATGTGTGAACTAGCTGACTGTTAACGTTCCTACACAGCATGTGTCTGAGTCCATCATGGACCTATCGACACCCACAAGTGGGTGTCCAGCCTGGCAAACATATAAGTTTGTTTCGCCAGCTTAATCTCCCCAGGTGCGGAACTTACAGTGCAGAGCACTACGACCTGGACCATCACTATGTAGAGTTGTGTGGAGATTTGCCCCAGGTATTATAATTATACCTCTCACTTGCGTTGTGGGGTGGGGCCTACAATAAATTCGCGTCACATTTCTCACTTTCTGATAACGGGAGGACAGCACGATGAAGTGAGATGACCTGGTTAGAGGAGTTGAGTTGCTGCCTATGAGCCCTTTTACAGCTGATGATACAAGAGAAGGTCTGCAGAGTAAACTGCGACAAGTCCATGGTGAAACTCAAGGTGAAGCAGAAAGATTAACTTGGAAACAAAAGACACGGTAACTTTTGTGGACTGATGTGTGTGTGTGTGATTTAGTAGCATTATTGTGCAGAATTCACCTTGAACCAAAGGGAAATATTAAGCAGTCTCTCACTGATGGCTTGAGGCTGCTTTGTGACAAAAAGGAACAACTCATTACAAGACTTGATGCTAGGTATATAATAGTACCCACGGTCATTGTAGTCTCATGTAATAGAGACTACGGTCATTCCCTTTCCCCTGAAATGTTGTAGATTTGGAAAGGTTACTTGGAGTAAATTCCCTGAAGAGGTCTACAGACGAAGAATGAGTATTCAAGAGCTGGGAGATCTACTTTTCGAAGAGCAGAGCAAACACATAAACATATTCAACACAGAGTGAGTGAGATCATGCATGAATCCATCTTTTGGGTAAAAGGGGTGTAACTATAACGTCAATTCATGCACCATGTTTTCCCAGCATCCAGGCTTTAGGTGCTGAGTGTAACTATAACGTCAATTCATGCACCATGTTTTCCCAGCATCCAGGCTTTAGGTGCTGAGGCTATCCGTAAAAAATTTAGACGCTCTCCTAGCTACCCTCTGGAGACTTTTGATGTGAAGTTGACAAGTATCGGGAGTGTGGGAGGAGGAGAAGGAGAAACAAGACTCGACATTCGTCTGCTCGTGAGGAAAAGCGATGATGGAAGAACAGGTGTAGAGGTGGCTCTGGTGAAAAAGAATGAGATCAAAGATGTCACTTTTGACATCCTTAACATACATCGGTTAATTCTTAACCAACACAAGTATAAAGAGTATTGTTCACACTGTTTTTCTCTACAGAAAACATGATGTGCGTATTGGCCTTCACCACTACAAGTGTGTGGAGGAGGGAGAGCCTATTTTTGGTATTGTTAGGGAGATGGTTGGCCGAATGGCCTTTCCATCTCGTCACAGAGTCCGCTTCCAGCCGAGATCTTCGCGGTGGAGTGTCCATCTCATCCGCCACAAACAGAAGACGACATACATAATGGACGGCGGAGGTTTTGCTGTCACTGTAGCCACTGTTTCTGAGCACTCCTTTGACGCAAAGAATGACGAAGCTGTTGAGTTTGACATGCGAATGGAAGCAAAGAAAACACACGCCGAAGTAGAGGTAAGCAAATAATTACTTAAGTACAGTGTTCACAAAATATTTCTACTCTCCACAGCTGCACAACTTGGCCTGGGAGTGTGCCTTTGGTCGAGATGCAGGATTCTCTGCTGACAAGTCCCTTGCTCTGCATATGGAGCGAGGCTCGGCTGACACGAGGCAGTTTGACACCATTCCTTACCCCTGGCAGACTGCCAGCATCCTCAGGGATTTTGATGCCTTCTGGAGCCACCTGGAAACCCTTACCGGCAGACTAGATGGACCACAGTAGTAGCCGAACAAACATATCTTCGAGAAATAGTTTTTCCAGTAGACCATTAGACTCAGAAAATCGTGCTTATATAATTATGTAGTTGCTTTTTATATATACCCTGAAAGCTTAATGATTATGTTACCATTTTCTCCTTTTACAGTAGCAGCCATGAAACTCATACTATAGTGATTGTGCAGCTATATATATTATTATGGGATCAATCTACACAGTCTTGTAGCAGTCTTTGCTCCAACTGTCTGACAGCTCCAATGCTGAGCACCAGTTTATCCCTCAGCAGGATGCTGTACACATTGAGTCCTTTCGACGGCAGTACGTCGACTTTCTGCAGGTTACGAGTTGCGTAGCACAGGTTCCTGTCCAGTTCTCCTCCGTCCACCATCAACACCGACGACCACTCTTCTCTCTCCAGAATAGGGAACGTCTCTCGAACTCTGTGAGTGGGTACCTGGAGGGCATCAACCACTGTTAGATCTCCCTGCGTGTACTTTACCGACAGAGCCACTCGAAGTCCGAGGCTTTTGACTTTCTTTGGAAGTGTGTAGTCGTAGGATTTCGGGCCTCGCGGTCCGTGGACCACACCCCCGCCTCGCCAGTGAGGGGCTCTGATGCTGCCCTGTCTGGCCCGACCACTCCCCTTTTGTTTCCATGGTTTCCTCCCTCCGCCCCGGACCTCCGATCGATCCTTCACCTTTGCGAGTCCTTCCCGCCGCTTGGCTCGCTGCCACACCACGATTCTGTGGAGGATGTCGATTCTCGGAGGAGCTCCAAAGACAAATGGGTGTAGGTGAACGGTACCCAGGACCTGGCCTGTCTGAAACGACTTGAGAGGCGCCTCCTTGTGAGCCGGTTTGTAGTGGTAGGGGTAAGGTGAGGCGTCTGACGCATGCGCGTTGGAAACGACCGTTTCTTCCGCTTCGGCAGCTCGAATTGTTAGCTGGCGAGAGGCTTCGGGGAAGACACGCCACACACTGCCCACTAACAGCCTTTTACACCACAGAATGCGTCGAGTAACCGACATCTTTCCGAAGAACTAGCACGTGGAGTGTCCCCAAATAATGCGCACCGGAGGGGGATCCCCGAATGAGTAGAAATTTACTCTCTCGCTGCTTTGCGCGTTTGTGCTAATACGTGAAAGGACCATCTGAGGACGCATGCAGCGAAGCATAAAGCAAAGCGGAGTGTGCAGATCAAGACCTAGACGGGCAGAGAGTCGCCTACTAAACTGTCTGAGAGAACGGTGACTATTCCAAATAATGCGCAGTGTGAGTGACTTTGCCTCCGTATCCAGGTTCAGTGGAAGTGATCTGTACTAGCTAACCATGGCAAAGGAGGAAAAGGTATGCAAGTAACAAAACCTAGAGCACTTAATGGACACAGTCTGTGATCTTTGGCTAGCCAATACTCTCTTCTTCCTCTAGGGAGATAGCGATTCACTGTTTGGTCCAGGATTCCACCAGACCATGTGAGCTAGACCCTCACACCACCACCCTCCACGCTCACCCACACCCTCTCCACAAAAAAGGCACCCCCAACACTCCCCCGGCCCCCACTACCTCACACACTTAGTGGTGTAATGTATACATACAACACGGCAATAGCAGGAGGTCGTTCAGTTGTGATGGAACGTGACAGACTGTGGTTTCTATCTCCTGCAGAGCTCTGACAGGGAGAGAGAGGGCCTACACAGTCCACAACTATGAGGTGGTTATCCATGCCAGTCCCTCTTCTTCTATCAGCAACAACTCCACCTCTGGCAGCAGCAATGTACATAACTCACACACACTCTCTAGTGGCTGACTATATAATATGTGTGGATACAAAACATGTATATAGCTATGGAATAGATGATGACATGTGCACTTTCTATTGTGCACGTATTTTCAATAGATAGCAACTGATTTCAAACTCCTTATCTGTACACCAATGCAACTGAGTCGACTCTACTATTTTACTTGAGCATATCCCTCTTCCTCCCTCTCTATTCAACCTTCCCCCTCCTCTTCTCTTCTCCTCCCTCTCTCTCTCCACCAGGTCCAGGTATCCACCATTACCAACCAGAGCTGGGAGCTGCCCGTCCACCCTGGAAACATGGTGGCCTCAAACTCAAACTACATTGCCTACGTACTGGAGGGCCGCAGTGGGTACGTGGTGCGGCTCATCCACCGCCACACCAACAGTCGGACTCTCCTCAAGGGGTTCACTGGTCCGGTGTTGGACGTGGCGTTTTCCCCGAGTGCCGCCAGTCTGCTGGCCTGCGTGGATCAGGGAGGAAACCTGTTTGTCTGGGACCTCAGCAAGACTGATTCGGGTCTCTCAGACGCTAACAGGTACGTATATATACAGCCTAATATGCTGTCCCTGTGCGACGAAGAAGTTAGTAAAATTGGGAAATATGTTGGTTTTAGCACAACATGCATACTGGCCGAGAGTGCTTGTGAAACTCTTTCACAAAAAGTCCCTTTTACCAGCCATGAAGTTTTTGGTTATATGGTGCGCATGTTATGCTGGAGATCTTACTGAAGATTTGTACTTGTGGATGTTTGTTTGAGATTTGCATTATATTGTAGGTTAAGGTTAAGTCAGTATTAAAGGTTTGGCTGTGCTCAAGGTTTATGGAGGTTTTACCATTTTGTGTGTTCAGTACACTGCGGCTGCATTCAGAGAGAAGCTCCGCCCCTGACCACACCCACCACCGACTCTCGTGGTGTCCGTACGTGGCGCAGGAGGAGGGAGAAGATGAGGAGGAGGGGTGGCTTCTGGCTGCCTCGCACGGCTGCGAGGTAAGCGGGGAGGAGGGAATGTGTGGGAGCGGATGCATTTGTATCAGGGTAAAAAAAGTGATGGAAATTCTACCCTAAACTTGTTTAATTTTCTCAGCCAAATGGTAGGATCGTTCCTAATTTCCCTCGCAGGGGGACATATAGTATATATGTCCCCCTGATCCATGTGCATTTAACAGTTCGTGGGGAAGGAAAAGAAATGGCTGCTTAAGGCTTCTTAACTCTATGGATTTTGAAATTCCCTCCTCCAACTTAAACTCTCTATGTGTATGAATGGACGTGGCAATCTGTACGTACAGGTTGAGGTGTACACTCTCTCTCTCTCTCTCTCTCTCTCTCTTTGTCCACATGTGTAACATACAGGTTGAGGTGTACAACCTGGGTCAACTTTTGCCGGCCTCTGGTTCAGGAGGAGAGAGTCCAGTGGTACTACACGGAGGAGACGAGGCTCCGGGGAGGTTCATTATGCCCTCCCCTCACTCCAAGGTTCGATCCACCTCCCTCAAGTCCACACCCCCTCTTCTAGATGTGTACCATATAGTAGGGAAATCTTTCAAAAGAGAAAACTTCGAATTACACAGTTTATTAGCTGTTAGCAAAATTTTTTGACTTGTAGTTTGGGGCTAACGACCTGCAAAAAACTTCTCTCTTTTTTTACCGAAACGCGAAGGGTTCTCCTTTGAATGGTCCCCACTCTGCACTCTATAATATGTACAATGTACTGAGACTTTCAGAGAACCTTTACACCACACGTGTCCAGAAAACTGGATGCGTACAGGTCAATAACGTTCCCCCTTGAAGTAGTGTGTAAGGGTATGACCTGACTTCCTCTCCTACCTACGTACCTCTCTCCAGCCTGTGTACGACATGTCCATCTCCCCCGATGGAGGTGTTCTGGCGACCTCCTCTGAAGACGGGCACCTCAAGTTCTGGCAGATCAACTGGGACAACGTCGTCCCTGAAACGTGAGACTCCTCGCTCCTTTACTTAAGTACTACGTGTTGTTTTTCTTTCTCTTCTCTCTGTGTGTGTGTGTGTGCAGTCTCCATGATTTCAGTCCTCATGGAGGAGAGGCAGTCACACGACTCATCTTCTGCGACGACCACACAACTAGAGACGAACTGTCAGTGAAAAAACCTCTCTCTCCTTCACCAATTATGCCCCCTATCTCCATCCTCTCTTCCTCCCTCCCTTCCTCTCTCCCTTTAGGGCTCAGTACTGGAGGTTCCTAATCACGGGAGCTAATGGCAACAGAGAGGTGAAACTCTGGTGCACCGTCACTTGGAGATGCCTGCAAACATTCCAGTAAGACCATCAGCAACGTTTCTAGGAAAGATTTTTCCAGAGCCAAATGTTTTAATAAGAGTGAGGAAAGTAGTTGATTTGCATATTATACGCAGGAACAGGCAAATCCTCCATCCTTCTGAAAAGCCTTGATCTTCAGGGCCTTCGTGGCAAATTAATGTGTGTATTTGATAAAGAGAGGTAAAAATCCCACCGTGCGTGTGCGAGGTTGAATCCCTGTTTGTTGAGAGAGATGTTAAAATCCCACTGTGCGTGTGCGAGGTTGAATCCCTGTTTGTTGAGAGAGATGTTAAAATCCCACTGTGCGTGTGCGAGGTTGAATCCCTGTTTGTTGAGAGAGATGTTAAAATCCCACCGTGCGTGTGCGAGGTTGAATCCCTGTTTGTTGAGAGAGATGTCAAAATCCCACTGTGCGTGTGCGAGGTTGAATCCCTGTTTGTTGAGAGAGATGTCAAAATCCCACTGTGCGTGTGCGAGGTTGAATCCCTGTTTGTTGAGAGAGATGTCAAAACTGCTTCTCCCCTCTCTCTCCCCAGTTTCCTCCCTCCAGAAGAAGGCTCCTCAGACTCCTCCGAACCCAACATTCTGCTCAATCTTGACACTAGCGCCTCTTACCTCATAGCCACTGACACCAGAAGAATGGTATAGGTCTCAAACTTGCTAATTTTCGCAATTTCATTGATTCTTCTATCGTATGTAGTAGTCGGTCATATAGGCTATTGCGAAATTAAATCTGTGAAGTCTGTGAATTTATTATGTGGGATTTTAAAACGAAGGACCTGCAATACTGTTGTTTTAGTAAACTAAAATCTCTCTTGACCTTTTCCCCCGTTTTTTTGTGTCAGACGCTGTATGTGTTCCAGCTGGTAATGGATGGTCTGGGCGGGCAGGCCTCCTTCACCTCCATCACCGAGTACCTCCTCACCCAACCCGTCCTCAGCTTCGTAATTGCAGGCCATGCCCCCTGTCCGTCGACCAACGAGGTCACGGGAGGTGGGGAGAGCGGGGAGGAGGGGGAGGGTGAGAGGGCGGAGCTATCGGAGAGGGCCAACAGGGACAGTCGACTTGTGGCTGTTCACATCAAACTGTTCTGCATCCACACCAGGTATATATACCTAATGTAGGACACTTTACGTTGTGTTTCATGTCAGTAGAGAGCAACTCTGTCCATCATCTCTCTCTCTCTCCCTCCCTCCCCTGGCTGCCTACCTCGTCCAGGTCGATGCAGGAGCTGCAGGTGAAGTTTGAGCCGCCAGACATCATGGGGGTCCCTCCAGACCCACTCCCCATCCCTCTCTTCTCTGGCACCATGTTCTTCTCTGGTATATATATAATATGCATACTGTACTGATGTGCATGACGGCTCACACCAATTACTTACATTTCAGTATAGCAGGTTTTTTCGGGGCAAAGTTCGATCTTTTTTTCCTCCGATTCTGAGCGCCACACGAAACCAATGATTTTATGTTGGGCATCTGGGTGCATTCGTGTTAGAGAATACTTCGCGTGTTAACTTGTCTGAGAAATGCACCAGTGTAACGAAGTGTGTATGATTATAGAGACCAAGTCGACTGAGAAGCCAGCTGCCAACAGTGAACCGGTTTCTAACGGTCAGGTGGATAGCGACGGTGGAGGGAGAGAGGGGGAGGTAGAGGAGGAGGAGGAGGAGGAAGATGATGGAGCCAGCAGTCCAGTTGATAGGCTGAGTCAACCAGCCTCCCTTCCCTCCTCTTTCCACCCCATCACCCCAGTCAGCGGATCTGCCATCGTATCTGAGCCTTTCCTCTCACTTCCCAGTCTTCCTGGTCAGTTTACCTGCGTTGAACACTATTATATAGTTTTCCCTGGCATACAGTAAGGCTAGGTTCACAATATGTTGCATTGCCCCGTTGTGCCGTGCCACGTCGCGTCCCGCCGCGAAGAAAAATGGATTCTATCCTTGCGGCGGCAACGGCGGCAACGCGGCACGGCGCGCGACGGGGGCAGTGCAACGCACTGTGAACGTAGCATAAGTTCCAATAGGCATTTAGGGAATGTGAACCTTCTTTCAGGGAAATTGGAATATGAACTTTCAGTATAGGGCAAAATTGTATTAGGTTTTTATAACAAGGAAACAGTTCATTTTGGTGTTTCTTATTGAATTATGGGATACGTATAGTCAGAAACAATACCGTTCCTCTGCAGGGATGTCCCCGAAGCTCGTCACTCCATCTGACTTCCTATCAGCCGCCAAGATCGACATGTCTCCCTCACACAAGTCCACCTCTCCCCCTTCTCTCCTTCCTTCGTCCCCTTCCTTCCTCCCTTCCTCTCCTTCCCTCTCACCCTCCACAAACCATCCCTCCCAACTCCCCAATACCACCACTGTCTCCGTCTCCCCCGGCAACACGTTGACCTCCGTGACCCCTTCACTGGAGCCGTCTGATACCACCTTTGACTCCACCCACCTCATTGGAGAGGCTCCGCCCCTGGGAACGCCCATGGAGTGGATGAGAGCCCCGCCCGGGGAAGTTGAGGGAGATGAAAACAAAGATGACGATGAAAAAGAGCGATCCATTGGCCGGGAAAGAGAGAGAGAGGAACGGGGAGGGGAGGAAGAGGAGGGAGAAGAAGAGGAGGAGAAGTTGCTGAGTGATGTTGAGGAGCTCCATGTTAGCCAGTTGGTTGACGAACACTTGCGCAGGCCTGCCTCCCCTGGTGACGAGGAACAAACAGAGAAAGAGAGCGCGGGCAGCGTTCAGGAGAAATTTAGCGAGATATTTGGCATGGCTGGGGCACTTGACAGCTCACTCCCTGAGGGGGGCCTGGATTTTCAACCCCTCGACGGGTCCCCAGAGGGGGTCGGAAATTTGAACGGGAGACCGAGCCCCCTGCGTCCCCAGCAAATGTTCACTTCGACGGAAAAATCGGAGATCGTGACGATATCTAGAAAGGCGCTCACTCCGACGAGGGAGGAAGGGACGGAGGTCGTCAACACAACTGGAACTCCTTCCGCCGAGTTCATGGAGCTCCTCTCGCACCAGCAGTCCTCTCGGAAGGGGTCAAAGGTCACGACCCCGCAGGGAGAGACGGGGAACGACGAGATGATGTCGGGGTTCTCGGCGCCTTCCTGGATGGACAAGATGTCCGACAACGCTGCGTCGGCGTGGCCCGACTTGGGTGCCAGCAACATCCCGAAACTGGTTTCCCAAGACGAGGAGGAGATTGAGACTCGCCTACTGACTCCGCCCATGGGGCGGTGCCAGGGAACGAGGAGGGAGAGGCAGGGGGGAAGATCGAAATAGACCCCTCTCATGAAGTCCGACACGATGAAGGAAGCGTGAGCGGTGAGACTATGAACCTGTACAGTGGGCTGTTCCCGTCAGCACTACCGCCGACTGTTACAACCTCGACACCTCTGGAGACGGGCGTACCTCTGGCGAGAGGGGCAGAGACGACTGAGGGAGAGACGGGTCAGATGTTACCATTGACTGCCGAGCATGTGGCATCTCCGGAACACGGCTTACTGTCAGCTGTCGCGTTGTTGCCACCACTGTTGGGGGATGAGGTGGAGGGAGGGGAGGGAGTGAGGGAAGGCACCGTGGAGGAAAGCACTGGAGCTAAAAGTGAGTTATGTCATACATTATCTAGTCTCAGGTTTCTAACACTCTTCTCTATGCACCTACGTACGTAAACTAACAGAGGCTGCATGTTACCTAAAGACTACATGCTATTCGCATTGTTTGTGCCGCCAGTACATTTGAATGAACTGTGCTGTTGTGTGCAGCCAGTAAAATCATGGATAAAAAATTTTAGCGATTCGGGATTTGATAGCTATATAGACGTATGTGCATGATTAGTGTGAGCGTGTAAGCACTGGCATAAGCACTGGTGTTGTAACGTGTATGTAGAGCTCTCAGTATTGTTTTCTCGCATTCAGCTTCTCGTTTGGTGGAGTTACAACCCTCGCCACCTCCCCCGGACACAGAGCTGCCTCAGCTGGTACCGAGGGGCGGGGGAGGGGAGGGAGAGATGCCGGCCACAAGGGCAAGGAAACGGAAGAAGATGAAGACGAAACAGCAGCAGCAGCAACAGCAGCCGACCATGACAGTGCCTACAGCTGGGTTTGTCAGCTGTCTATAGCACCAACTAATTTCTCAACTACATTATTCCTCATACCGTGCAATAGGTTGGGAAGGGGGGAGTTAACCCAAAGTTCATATACATGTATACCCCCAGCACAGCTCTTTTTATACCAATAGTTATTTTTACCACTGCATTGTAGGTTCGGTGTTACAAAAAATGAAAAATTAATCAACTAGTCAAAGTAAGATTTAACTATCAAAGAGGTTTTAACTGTTTCAGTGATGGTGAAGGGAACCGGGAGACGAGAGGACCGCTAGCACAACAGCATTTCCCACCCCCTCCCGCCGGCAATGGGGTGGAGCCAGTGGGCGTGGCCGACCACACCCACCACCTGGCGCAGCTGTACCAGCTGGTGGCGAGTCAGCAGAGGGAGATTGCTGAGCTGCAGGCCGAGGTGAGGAGAGGTTTTTCCACAACGTGGCGGCAGCTGGCGGCTGTGCAGTCGACCGTGACTGAGGAACAGAACAGAGTACTGGCAGAGCACGCCAGAGAACAGCGTATCCTCTTATAGTATAGTGTCGATTGTAAGGATTTATTTTCTCTTACAAGGATACGTGTACAGCACAGCACCATGTGCTTTAAATTTCTGCAGCTGTATGTAGTATGGCACCCTGTAGAAAGGTTTTAAGAACTTTCAAAACGTACGGACAGACGTGGTTGTGTTCCTTGACTCTGTGGTCTCCCAGAGCAGAGGCTGGACAAGGTCCTGAAGGAGAAGCAGCTGGTTGACCGACAGAGGCAAGACAAGCTCATCTCCACGGTGTCGCAGACGCTCACCTCCGCCGTACACGTCAAGCTGGAGAAGGTCGTCAAGTCGGAGATGAAGACACATGTCACTCCAGGTATGCCCCATGTTTCAAAATTATGCGCAATAACTACCCCAGTGGTGAAAAATTCAGGTCTCGCTTCATCATCAAAATATGCGTAAAAACTCCCAAATTTTAATCTCACCAACAATGTGTTGCATTAGTGTTAGTTATACCAGTGGCTAATGACTGTACTAAGTGCAGACACTTTTGGTGTGTGTGTGTATCAATCTCATATTATTACCATGTTTCATTTGAAAATGTCTCTCTCTCTGTATGCAGCTGTGAGTCGTAGTCTGGGCAGTGTGCAGGACCAACTGACAGCTACGGTGCAGTCAGCTACCGACACAGCTCTCAAAGACGGCATCGCCAGCATTCTTCACACCAAGGTCCCCTTTCACTCTCAGATTATATTTCTGTGTGCGACTAAAGGCACAAACAGTACACAAGGCAACGTTGTTGCTTCAAAAAACAGTTGCAACAACTTAAGTATTAGTACTGTACGATGGGCCCAGGCATTTCTGGCAACCTGTTGCCTGGCCCTACCATACCAATACTTGTGGAAGTTGCTGAAGTAGCAGGTTGCCTCAAGCACCGGTATGTGCCTTGTTAAATGTGTATTTCTCTAGGGTTTACCAGAGGCTGTTGGGACCGCTGTGGCGGGCTCTATTAGGAGTAACATCCAGGGGATGTACGACGAGACCTTTCGAAAAGTTGTCCTCCCGGCTTTCGAACGGAGCAGTCAAGAAATGTTCAGACAAGTTGACGAGGCATTTAGGAGAGGCATTGCCGAATGTGAGTTTCTGCTCCCTTTCTTTCTTTCCTCCCCTTCTCCCTCTTTCCTCCCCTTCTCCCTCTTTCCTCCCCTTCTCCCTCTTTCCTCCCCTTCTCCCTCTTTCCTCCCCTTCTCCCTCTTTCCTCCCCTTCTCCCTCTTTCCTCCCCTTCTCCCTCTTTCCTCCCCTTCTCCCTTTTCCTCCCCTTCTCCTCTTTCCTCCTTTCCTCCCCTTCTCCCTCTTTCCTCCCCTTCTCCCTCTTTCCTCCCCTTCTCCCTCTTTCCTCCCCTTCTCCCTCTTTTGTTTGCAAAACCCTTCATTGTGCTGTACAAATACTAATAATGTTTGCAGCAATGAGAAGTAAAACACAAGTACGATGCTCAAATGCACAGCATTCACCCTCTTTCACTCTCTCTCTCTCCTCTCCTTGATTCTCATCCTCCCCTCCCCCTCCTGCCCAGACCTGTCCCAGCTGCAGCAACAATTCCACCAGCTGAGCGAGCCGGCCCTCCAGCACCTGGCCTCCTCCTACCACTCCCTCCACTCCCTCCTCACCTCCCCCGACTCTCCGCTCCTGACCAGCCTTCAGAGGGAGATCAGGACTACCATGCAGAGGTTTTTTCTCCCTCCAAAATTTTGTCTTTTCCCCTATATCCCTAAAAAACTTTTCTCTTCTCCCATATACAATTATATCTCCCTCCAAAATGTTGTCTTTTCCCGTATCTCGCTCTAAACTTTCGTCTTTTGTTCCAACTGTTCATTTTCCCTCTCAGTGTGCTGCAGGGAGTGGGTGAGAGTGTGAGGGGTGTGGTCAGGAGGAGTTGACTCCGCCCTCCAGAAACACGCCCCACTCCATCAGCCCTGAGGCCCGTGCCATGGAAGAGAGAGCTCGTAAAGAAGTGAGTCTCTCTCCCTCCTTCTCTTTCTTACCACGCGTGCATCCATACATAACGGAACGCAAGCTCTCAGATTATAATACGCAAGATGGAAGCTTTTGCAGGTGGAAATTTGCACCAGAGAGCCAGCCCGCCACCTGCAGAAGTTCCCTGTGTATATATAATTTATCAACTTCTCTACTGCAAGTTTTCAGTTTGATGTCCATACTGCCCACATGCAGCTACTGTTGTGTCCACTTTACCGCCTTGATAACCTGCATTACTAAAGAGTTTAGAATTGTGGTGTCGAGTCACGTTTCGGGATATCAGCTTCTGTCATATTGTCGCATTCTCCTCAATTCTAACGTGTCACACACACACACGCAGGAGATTCAGCGCCTGGTGCAGTCTCAGGAGTTGAACCGAGCCTTCGAGACGGCTCTCTCGACCTCCGACCTCTCCCTCGTCCTCTACCTGTGCCAGCAGGTGACCCCCGAGGACGTATTTGACAAGACCCCCTGCCCCCTCTCCCAGCCCGTCCTCCTCTCCCTCGTCCAGCAGCTCTCCGTGGACCTCTCTGAACACGTGGACCTCAAGCTAAGGTCAGGGGGACATCATTACAACTGTTCCGTATAGTTTGAATGTCGTCTACGTACATATATATGTGATTTTTCCCCTACTGCCACATTAGGAAGTTGGGAGCTGTGTTTACTGTTTGAAGGATAATGCTAGAACACTCAGTTTTTGGTGACATAATGCGAGCAGTTCAATTTTTAGAATGACGTATGACGTTCAATTTTTCCGTGTGTATTTCAAACCTTACTGTGCATGCAGATTGCAGTGCCTGACACATAAACCCCACACATGACTATGGTATATACAGTACAAGGAACATTAGCTGTGTGTTTGTGTGTTCAGGTTTCTGGAGGCCTCGGTTCTGGGGCTGGACGTAAACAATGACATCACCAAGAGTCACATGACCCAAGTCCTGCGAACTCTGACCCAGCAGCTGGCCGGGGCGGAGCAGGCCAATCGCTCCGTCCCCAACTCTGCGGCTCTCCTCCGCTCCGTGAGGAGGCTGAGAATGGTGACCGAGAGTCTGTGCCCGCCAATTAACTAGCCCAGCAAGTACAATTCCCTACTCCACATTATTCCAAGTCAATATTTACTGCGAGAAGCAAAACTGCCAAATATCCAAATTCATTTTTGTATATTAAAACTGTGCATTCACAATCCTTTACATAGTTATGTTTTGTTCAGCCAAGTATTCGGTGCATTTAACTTTTCTTTTAGCAAGTGATTTTGTGTGTGTATATTCATTTGCTGTTAGCAGAGAAATGCACATTTTTGGAATGTCATTTGTTGTGCAGCCACTATTATAGGTGCATTTAACCATTTTCATGATTCACAAATTTTCTGTACATGTTAACATAATTATTCAGACAAACATAATGATGTGATACTATTCACGTTCGGCAAGTCAAAGCGTGTAGAATGCTTGTGTTGTCAGGTAAGAGCCCCTCCATAAGCATTCTCCTCATCTCCCTCCTCCTCTCCCTCCTCCCCCTCTCCTTCCTCCCTCTCCTCTTCATCACTCGCTCTCTCTATTTTATCTCCTTGGCTCTCGACCGTCTCCTCAATCACTGGTTGTTTCTGTTTCTCCTCGCCGGACGTAGTCCCTCCTCCAAACAGCTCTGACTTCATATCAGCAAACCGTCCTGAACCGGCACTGCTAACAGCTGTGACTGTCGACGCTGACGGTGGTGGTGACTTGGTAGAGGAGGAGGGTCCAGTAGAGGAGGAGGAAGAGGAGGGTTTTGTTGAGGAAGAAGTGGAGGAGGTGTGTGTGGGAGATGAGTATTCGAATTTTTTCTTAAGATCCAGTGCGAGTTTTGCAACCTGTGGAGAGACAGTGCATGTATAGGTGAAGGGAAGCTAGGTTCATTCAGACTGCTATATACAGTACAGGTGCTGGCATAAGAAGATGCACGTGTGCGCTTTCAGGTGCATTATAATTATACTCCCATACATTTTGTACACCACGCACACAAATAACCCTCAGCAGTCAGCATGAACATGCAGGAAGTGTTACCGTAGCTTCTCTGTCGTGCCTAAAAACCAAAACCAACGGTATGTATGGCTTTCTCATAGGATTATCTTTGCTAGAGAGAAAGAGAGGAAAGGAGGGATAGAGGTTCTCACGTCGGTCTCCATGGACCTGAAGACCACGCCCCCACAGGCCTCCACAACAGCATCTCCATCCCTCTCCTGGAAGGCATCGCACAACCTCTCCATGGCCGGCCGCTCATCACTCTCCAGGAACCCTGGAATCCTGACACACACAAACACACACACACACACATCTCACAGTGTATTAGAGGCTTCTAGTATTAGAAGTCACTGAAGTGAACCCATCTAGTCATTGAGTGGCGCGGTTTGTATTGAAATGTGTCCACTCACCAAAAAGTGCTGCGTTCGTTCTAACATGTTTTGTGCCTGTTAAGCCTCTGCTAATGCATTCGAGAGCACATGAGCGACTTACTTTGCAGCATCGACAACAGTGTCATTGGCGGCCACAGTGTCGTCGCGGTGGAGGTGAAGAACCAACTCTATGGCAGCCACCTGCAGACAGAGAGAGGGAGGGAGGGGAGCTCTCTTAGGGAGTCAGTTAGAGAAGGGAGGGAGGGAAGAAGAGGAGAGAAGGAAGAAGGTCTAACTAACATTCCAGAGCTGTTTGTGCATGTTCAGTTCCTCATACAGAGTCCTCAGCTTCTCCAGAACTTCTTTCAACTTGTCCAGACTTTGAGAGCGAAAGAGGTCATCATGAAACCATACAGAAGTGATATTCTACTCAGCTATCAAGGGGTTAACTTTCAACTAACAGATTGGATGCAGAAAACAACTATTGTCTATTGAGGACAGCTCTCTCATGCCCCTAAGTGAGCAATTTGGCTTGACTCACTCCCTTGCTCTGGCGGCCATATTGACGGCATTCCTGGTGGCCTTAGTGGCCTCTCTCTGCTTGTCCTCCACCAAATGGAGCTCTGCACACGCCAGGTGGTAGTCGACGGCCCTCAGCGGGTTCACGGGGTCAACGAGCTTGGCTGCCTTGGTTAGCACCTAGTAGAATGCATTTGCCTATCTTAATTTTTCATGGACGCACATTACAACACCACTCAATAGGGAAAGAAAGAAGGAAAGAAACCACTTCCTCCATTGGCATGCAGACGCACACGACTCGATGGTTTGTCTTTTCTTTTCTTTTCTCATTAAGTATTCATAAGTGCATAATGTGTTCACAGTAAAGCTATTTTGCCGTTTCAACTACACTAACTACACTAACTACGCACACACCTGCCCGGCAGTGTCTCCATGCCCACTCTCATGGTAATAGTGACTGGCAGTCTCCAGCAACATGGCCGCCTGCTCCATCTGCTTCATCTCCTGCAGTAGTATGTACATTAATAGTGGGAGGGGGGAAATTTTTGATTTGGTCACAGAGAAATGTTCTGCAGATTGTCATACAAATGGCGAACAGAAACTTTGGTTGGTTCTGGTTTGTTCCTCTATATATAGTACACCAGTCAAAATACCACTGCTTGTACCCAAAGTGTGTAGGTAAAACACACAACCTTAGCAACGTGTGCAGCTTGCTCCATAGATCTCCCGGCCTGAAATGAACTAGGAAAAACGACAGTCAAGAAAAATAAACCAAAGTCACGTCAGTTTGTTAGTTATAGCAGTGTATCTTGGTGCAAAGAACGGATACCCAGCGTTCTTGTAGTGGGCCTCGGCAGCTCTCTCGTAGGCCTGTCTGGCCCTATCATAGGCCTTGCCATTCCTGTAGCACAGAGCTATAGAAAGAAGGAGCACAATATACTAGTGGCGTTGACTGCCTAAGGATTTGACATGAGGTCTTGCCTGCTTTGTCGAAAGCATGAGCTGCTCCTGCATAGTCAGCACTCCACTTCAGCCAGTTTGTCTTCAAACTGTATGTAGAGATATACAACAGAGCCAGAGAGAGCCTGAAAAACAATTTGCTGATTTTCCTGCAGTCTGGGACCGAGTTGCTAATTTCTTACCACTTCTCTGCCTCGATTATGAGCTTGTCTCCCTCTCTGACCTTAGCCTCGCCACCAGTAGCCATATTCTCTACTGCTGCAGCTTCTTGCAAAGCACAAGTATTAGTAAGCCAAAAAGAAAGCGGTCCACCCTAAAGACTGTTCTAATTTAACGACAGTAGGCGTGGCTTGCAGGTTTCAATTTTACTGTGTAATAAGGTATCCCAAATTGAGCACGCGGCCGAGGGGATGGTCTACTAGCTGGCGGGCCTCCCTCGAGCTCTGTCCTTGTTTCTGCTGCCGTCCCGACTTCCTCCAAGTGTCACCTCCCTCTCCCACCACATCTTCCTTCTCCGTGGAGAAAAAATAGCGCCTGGAGTGGTGAGTATACCGCATGACATCCCATATTTCACGGAGACCCACCGCCTTTCCCTAAAATTATTCTATAGACGTCTTTTCCCCCTCCTTACTTGTATTGATATGTCACACACTGACCCATTTCTTTCCCTGCTGTCTACTCCATTTGCCTCCATACTGTAGAGAGCTCTAGCCATGGCAGCAAGTGGTGTGTGGGCTAGAGTGTATGCAGACGCCAACACACACAAGCCCAGGGACTACTGGGACTATGAGGCCCATCCCATTGAGTGGGGGTAAGCCCCGCGTATTACCTGTCATCTCGTTGCCAATCGAGGGACACCAAATAGGACCTGTCCATTTGGAGCCAGGCATACGATCTGAACATCAACTAAGGGACGCTAATTTTAGCCGTGAAGTGTTGGCAGTGTTGGTTTATTGTTTGCGCCGGGTGCAGTGTCACGGTAGAAGTTTGACCAGACTTGGCTGGTTTCAGTCAGACAACAGCAGAGAGCGCTAGGGCTGAGGTTATGTGTGGCCCTTATGTGATGTACAGGTTATACAGGGCACGCTAGGCAATCAATATGTCAACATCTTGCATCACAACAGGAGCCTTGTACTAACATGGGGGTGTGTATATCCATTGGCTGATTGTCACACTTGAGAAGTACTGTTTGTTTGGCTGAATGTTACACGATGTCATTGGCTGGTCACATGACCTGTCACATGACAGCTAATTCATATCCAAACACTCCACCCAAGCGCCAGGGTCTGGTACCCGACAATTGAGCAGTTTCTTGGTTGTGCTGAACTGGCTCTTGTTGTCATTGTGTAATCACACGAATGTTAGTTTGGATATATGCTCGTGCACAGAGCTTTGTCTCACGCTTACGTAATGTTATGCGATTTCGTTGGCTTACTCGAAACTAAGACTAGCTTATTCAGCAAAACTAAAAGTAACTAAATTGTCACCTGACCCTTTTTCCTCTCTTGAGGGTGGGTTCTGGGTACCAAACACGAAAGCACTACGTAACTAAAGAGTGGCCAGAGTACATACGTACGTTAGCAAGGAGGGAGAGAGAAAGAACCAACTTATGTCTGTCGGGAATCGAAATCAGGCATCATGACCGGAAGTCCAGTGCACTAGACACTGAGCTACGACTCCCAGTCAAAACCTGGTCTTCCCACCTGAGCACTATTTCACACAGACCTCAATACGCACACTATTTGTACTGATCTCCAGTAACCAGGACAACTATCAATAGTACGAAGCTGGTCGAGGCAGTACAAGGCGAGGTCTCTCGAGGCATGAACGTGTGGTGCTGCGAGATATGTGTCATCAAATCCTCAAGTTGTACATAGTCATCCCATATCACTAGCATCAGCTACTGTCTGTTCTAGTCTCTTATGTGTGACTACACTTATTTCTTTGAAGTTCGATTTTGCAGAATTTTCGCAGTCAACGCACCACTGGCCACTGGCACATCCGAGACTAAGCTTTACACCTACAAATTTGTCTAGATGCTCTGTCAAATCCCAGGGAGGTCCCCTGTTAGGTAGTGCTTTCTCTGTTCTAACTGCTATAATTGGATGTTGGATGTTGCATTGGCAAGTTTCCATTAGTCTCGACGTGTTGTTGATAAGAGGTGTACCTAGTTTCCTGTACTGGCGTATGTATAACTTCTTATTAGCACTACTGGCAGATTGCATGCTGCGACATGTCTTCGTAATAAATCTCAAGGGAGCGTTTGTTATAGTGGGTTTTGCATCAACATTGTGTGTGTGTGTGTGGAGAGTGGTTTAACCGTGGTGTTGAAATCGTGTCTGCTCAGCCGTGAAAAAGAAGAAGATAAAGAGGGAGATAAAGATTTTGGAGAACTTGAGGGGAGGACCCAATATTATCGCACTGTTGGATGTCGTCAAAGACCCGTGGGTGAGTGGAGGAGTGATATAGGGGAGGGAAGAGGGGATGAAATAATATCATGGAGGAGTAGATTTGGTAGTGTGTAAGAGGGGGAGGGTGTAATATGGTGGGCAATAATATGGAAGTGACTGAGTTTGCCAACACTTGAAGAGGGTCTGTCTGGCTTCTAACTTCCCCCTACTATACCCACACATTTGTACAAGTTTTAATATACTGTGTACTACTGTTAGCAAGTTGGAGAAGAGAGGTACACACACACTGTCCCCCTATCTCTGTTCCTTTTCTCTCCCCTTATTGCATGTACACATGTGACCCTCTTCCCTGTCGTGATGCTCTCTCTCTCTCTCTCTCTCTCTCTCTCTCCATTCAGTCAAGAACACCAGCTCTGATATTTGAGTATGTGGACAATACAGACTTCAAAGTGAGGAGATACAGCAATAACCAGATATTGTACACCATCTCATGTTCTATATAAATCGTGTAAAGGATGTGCTGGGACCATAAATTGAGAGGTCTTTGTATTAGAAGAGGATTAAAACAAGTGTGCTTTATAAAGAGTTTCCTTCAGACCCCACATTAAGAAGTCACTCTAGCAAATAGGTGCCTAAGACTTTCTCACTTCTCTCTCCCGCCCTCTCCCCTTACAAACTTCCCCCCACATAGACTCTGTACCAGAAGCTGACAGACTACGACATTCGCTACTACCTGTACGAGCTGCTGCGGGCCCTGGACTACAGCCACAGTATGGGCATCATGCACAGAGACGTCAAACCTCACAACGTCATGATCGATCACAGTCACAGGAAGGTACGTACACCATTGTGTGCGTGTGTGTGTGTCATGCAGTACGTATGTACTTGGTGGCATATACACCGGTAATCATGTGGTCTTGCCTTTCCTTGAAACCTCATGATTCCTCTTTCCTTGAAACCTCATGATTCCTGCAACATTTCTCAGTCGATTTCCCTATATATAGCTAAAGTGTGGGACCATGTGTATGGCGGGACAAGCACATTCCAAATGCAGAATCCCAAAAAATTTTCCCTTGAAAGCGCCCCCCACTGTATGGTGCCATGTATATAACGTTCTTCCCTCCCTCTATTCCTTCTCTCCTCCCCTTCTTTCCATTCTTCTGTGCCCCTCCTTCTCTTCTCCTTAGCTCCGTCTCATTGACTGGGGTCTGGCAGAGTTCTACCATCCCGGCCAGGGCTACAATGTCCGGGTCTCCTCGCGCTATTTCAAGGGCCCCGAGCTGCTGGCAGACTACCAGGAGTACGACTATTCTCTGGACATGTGGAGTTTTGGCTGCATGCTAGCTAGTATGGTAAGCCAGATCTCCTGCGGTGTCAGATACGGGGACATTTTTCTTGCGACCCCACGATATTAAAACTGGGAACAAACACATCCATAATGCAGCGGAGCGTGACAAGTGTGAAATTGGCTTGCAATATAATTTGGGACTGTTGAATGCAATTATATTGCTTCCTTATTTGATGATTGTTTCCTGCCCAAATTAAATTTCTTTGTGTAGATGTTGATTTTGTGCACTAACCGTTCTGTTGTATGTAGATATTTCGCAAGGAGCCGTTCTTCCACGGTCACGATAACTACGACCAGCTGGTGAGGATTGCCAAAGTCCTTGGAACAGAGGAGCTCCACGACTACGTTGAGCGCTACAAGATTGATCTGGACCCCCGCTACTCTGACATTCTCGGCAGGTAAGACGCCGCCAGCCGTCACTCCAGATTGTACCATTTCGTAACATTGCTTCTTTGAGAAACAAATCACAAAGATATTGAGAAACCTGTGTGTCATTGTTGGTTTTTTGGGGGTGTTTGGGGCGTGTGTCTAAGGCACGAGTTTAAGGCTGAGAGTGCGGCAAAGAAGATGTTAACGTTTGGCTCCGTAACGGATGTACCTACCCTCTGGGATTACAAGTTGAGGTTTTTGTGCTTCTAACCTGATTCTTGTGTCTACATTATAGCTCATTCGGTGGTTTGCAGTGTTCGATTTGTTTGACTTGTTTGTTAGTCACAAAATGTCTGGTGACTGACCTGTGCAATACACCACACTATCAATAGTCTGCCTTAATTAATGTCGGTGGTTCAGCCAAGTGTAGGAGTCAGAAGACACAGCTAATGTTTGGCTGCCAGGCTCCTATATTCTCACAAGACTTGGGACAACTACTCACTTAGTTGCCTCCACAGCCTCGAGGCAGATTTCATTGGAAGTGCCTTTGTTTGTTTTTTTAACCCTCGGCGTGCATGCACAGCGGGGACTACATTACTTAGTAGGTCTGTTTTCAAAAGAGTGATATAAACACTACTACACACATGCGCATTTCACAAGACTTTATCCCTTCTTCCCTCATTTTCTTCCCCTCTCAGACATTCTCGCAAGCGGTGGGAGAAGTTTGTCCACAGTGAGAACCAGCATCTGGTGAGCCGCGAGGCCCTCGACCTTCTCGACAAACTCCTGCGCTACGACCATCGCGAGCGACTCTCCGCTCGGGAGGCCATGGAGCACCCTTACTTCTGTGAGTCATTTCTCCTCCTTTACCCTTCCCCCCCCTCCCCTCTCTACGGCTGTATTGAAAGTGCTTTTCACATGGATGAGCAAGAGCTTAGCACTCTCTAGCATGAACAACACGTAGCTAATCGAAGGTGATCGGGATTATGTAGCAGTCAGAAGATGATTGGTACTGGATGATGGAGAGGGTTTTAGTGTAAATGTGTTGTGTTATTGTCTACGCTGTGTGTATGACTGTAGATCCGGTCCTGAAAGAGGCGGCCATGAATGCAGCTGGACCGACTAATGTCACTCCCTCCTCCCTGCCCTCAGGTATTACAGGGAACATACAGCATCCTATTTAGTGCACACTTGCATAGTGAGAGGCTTTTTAGAGCTATTTTCTTCTTTAAAAGTTTGTGGACAGGGGAGTCTCTGTTAGAACTTCTATGAGTGTACTGTATTTCAATTATATGTGTGGCTACTTACGTATTCATTCTGCAGGTGCTTCCCCCTTCCCAATAGCTGGTGGTCCTGAAACCCAACAGGTTCGCGAAGGTCTTCAGGACATTCGGGAAGAAGCAACGGGCG